GTGTCCAAATTTTGAAGCTAGGTAGCTTTTGAGGTCCCCTTCTTTTATGGGCATTCATTATGTTAAGCTGTGCTCAGTCTATATCTTGTATTTTACACTTCGAAAAAGTCTTTTTTCCCATTGGCTTTACATGGGCACCAAATTTAGGAATTTCAAAACGCTTTAGCTTCCGAACCGGAAGTCAGATCGAAATTTGGTTTGCAGATTTGGATTCCTGAGGAAATTTTACACTTATTTCATAACTCATACGTTGAATTTGGAGAACTTTTTCGTTTGACCTACTTTCCGGACGCAATATCTCAAAATCGGTAAAAGTAATCAAAAAATTGGTTACTCACCGTCAAATCGTCTTTTTCTTGGCTACACGTTGAAAAAAAAATTTTGAAAAAATATTGAAAAATGACAGAGATAATTGACAAAATGATAATTTGACCTAGATTTTGACCTTTGACCTAGATAAAAATTTGACCTAATTTCCCAGAAACTAGGTCACATACCCTAACTGACCATGTAAGTAGATTTACTCCAAGTCTTCTAGTTACTGAGAAAACGTGACAAGAGAGAATAATAATAATAAGAAAACTGGCAAAAGCAATAGACTCCAGATTTTCAATCTGGAGTCTAATAACTAATATTTTATAAGAATCACACTTTTAACGATTATTTGCATCAATGCGGTAGCCTGGTATCTTTAAATAATAATTAATGAAGCTACACATTCATAAAATTTCCCCATGGCATATGGCACCTTCTTGGCTTCAAATGAAACGAGCATCATGGATCCCCCATACCTTTATTTATTATAATCTAACTTTTGTGATTACATTCCGGTTTGATTCGTTGACAACATAATGATATACTTCATGATTTAACTACTATATGTACGGGTATTTAAGCATCACCCGTGGTGCCACCTATTATTAATAATATGTGTACACATAATGATTAAATGTATGAATATATTGAGTTTAATTGAACTTGCAATGTTTCAGAATAACCCTTAAAAAGGTAACCATTACAATTCTAAAGTTTATTGAACCATATTCAGAGTCACTGTGGGGACTGGTGTCATATTCTAGGTTGTAGCTACCTGATGCAGTGGAAATGTCATCATATATGTTTGGGTAAATCCACTTATTCCCGTCCACACTTACTTTCCTTTGAGCCACATGAACATGCATCAAAACATTCTGTACCTGCAGTGGCACATGAGCAAGTGGTTTAACATATTGCTTTGTCCTTGTATCGTTTGCATGTGCAAAATGACTTTGGGATTTTTGTTATATCAAGTTTCGGTTTTTTGGTCATTTTAATGGTCTCAAGAGTAATATGAACCACTTGACATCCAAATCCATTTCCTGGCTCTGGAATCTCAAAAAGTGGTTTGTCAGCATTCATTGAAATGTATAATTGTTATAAACCAAAAATGCATCCATAGTTAGTGGTAATGCTCTAATATCATTTTGGATGCTGCAAACAAGTGTAATACATCCAATGATAGTTTGTTTTTATATTGAAATATAAACAAAAATAACGCAACTCCCCTAGACCAGAGATCGTGCCCATGTGGACAGTCAATGGAGACAGAAACTCACTTTAAAGTAGAATGTCATATCTTTGAAAATGAACGATTAAGTCTGTTTGCCTAAATGACTGATATCCATAGTGACTTTTACATGTATACAAGTCTTGGAAAATATTGTATAATAATGAATGAAAAAAACTGTTCAAATGACACTTGGAAAATGTATGATAAATATGTTAGTCAAAAGGCGTGAAATAGTTACATGCGATGGTCTCTAATAGGTTGGCATCAACCAGGAATTGTTTTAATTCATGTATGTATCTTAATGTAACATCTTTAGTGTGTTAGACTTTAATTAATAAATTTACTACTACTAGTAGTATAATATTGTTTCCATGTAATATTTGTTTCATTCTTGATGTGATTTCTCAATATTCTGGCGAAGAAATACATGTATAAGCTCTTTCTTATACGATTTCAAAGTTATGAATCAAAGTTTATTATTTTCTTTTAACTTCCCCCAACCCTAAAATATTAGGGTAGGGTGTGAGATTTTTTCACACTCATTATATACAATACCCTTTTTATATTGTGCATACCCGTTGTAAATGTATTTCTAGGAATTATTTCACAAGTTATAACTTCAGAGAAGTCAATTAAAGTAAATTTAGTATTTCATCACTAAATGTCATTTAACGTTTTTTATGACTGTATAAGGGTTAAATTATGCAAATTAGCTTATTTTCATATCAAGATAATTCTTCCGAATTACTGACGTTATAACATAAATTTTGGTGAAAGAATTAAGTTTGTACCTCATATACTTCCAAAGTTATGAATTAAAGTCCATTTCCATTTGATAAATAAATAAATATCTGGGTAGGGGGACAATTTTTTCAGCGTCGTTATGTAAGATACACTTTTAATATTTTGCACATCTGTTATACATATAAAGATGCATTTTTAGGAATTACTTTATTTGTTAAAACTTCATGAGAGGTCAATTAGAGTAAATGTCGTATTTTATCGCATCGTCATTTAACAGTTTTTATGACAGTATAAGGGTTAAATTATGCAGATTAGCTTATTTGCGTATCAAAAATATTTTTTCTGAATTACTGATGTTATTACATAAACTTTGGTGAAAAAATTAAGTTTGTACCTCATATACTTTTAAAATTATGAATTAAAGTCCATTTTTATTTGACCCCTCCCCTCAAAAATCTGGATAGGGGGAGAATTTTTTTCACAGTCTTTATGTAAGATACACTTCTAATATTTTGCACATTTATTATACATATATAGATGCATATTTAGGAATTATTTCATAAGTTATAACTTCATATGAAGGCAATAACAGTAAATGTGATATAACATCATTTCGTCATTTACTAGTTTTTATGGCAGTTTAAAGTAACTTTCCATGATTTCATCTAAAAATTAAAACCCTTGGAGTACTAAATATGGTTTAAGTGCCATATATAAAATTCATTTTAGAAATATTGTGGATCAAAATAAAAAAATAAATAAAATAAAGAATAAAAACTACTTCCACCCGTGGGATTTGAACCCAGATCTTTTGAATAAAAGTCTGGTTGAGTCCAAAGCTTTAACCACTACACCAAATAACCAAGCTTCCTAAATAGAGAAATTCTTAATCTAGTTAATCATCTACGAAAAAAGTCTCATTTATATGCTTAAATTTCTTAGAAATGATCAGCATTACTACTTATAATAACATTTTGCATGTCTGAGTAAGTATTTTGGTCTACATTTAGGATGAATGTTGTTTTATTCAGTTTTCATTTTGGGTATGACTTCCTGTCAAAACAGTGTTAAAAATGCAGGGCTCAACAAAAAGTTTCAATTAGAAAATGATATATATCCTTTGATAAGCTGTTTTTGGCACCTGAACTCATCCTACTAGAAAGGTAAGAGCATTTTCTTGAGACATATGGCTCGAAATCTCATATTTCTCCTTCTAAGTCTTAGAAAGACACTTTAAGGGTTAAATTATGCAAATTAGCTTTTTTTCATTCAAAATATTTTTTCTTCATGACTGATGTTATTTCATAAATTTTGGTGAAAAAATTAAGTTTGTATCTCATATACTTCCAAAGTTATGAATTAAAGTCTATTTTCTTCTGACCCCCCTAAAATTATAGGGCGGGGGGTATAAAGATGAAGATATCTTATTTTCGCAAGTCTCAAACTCTAGATATCACCCCACATCATAAAAGTAACTAATTTTCCAACAAGAACTGAAAAAACCTCGCGTAATACTTTCCAATATCCATTTTCACTTTCTAGCTGTTTCTCAGAACTTGGGTCCCTGAGTAAATTACGTACTTCAAAAAACGAACTGCGAAACGAAAATTATCGAGATACGTATCCGTAAACGTAATGAGATACGGATGCGGATACGTTTTAGCTAATTTGTTTTGCGAAACCTCTCTATTCAAACAAAAATGCCTTTCTGTTGGTACATTATTCTGCAATACAGAGTCCCTACTTTCAGCGGCATTTGGGTCCCCAGCTGTTAGAAGGGCTTCTCACAAATGGGGACTAAAACGCTGCTAAAACGAGCGACTCTTTTCAATAAAGCAATGTACCAACAGAAAGGCAATTTTGTTTTGCTTTGAATGGAACAAGTTTGAAGAAAAACGGTGCAGTATGAGACTCGCAATCCTTGATACACCTGGTAGGTCAAAAATATAAATCAACGGTCGAAGTTTGTACCGCGTGATTATGAACCTCAATCTACTTTATCGAAGCAGTTCGTTATGACACTGACTGTGTTTCCGGTCAAACTGCGTAATAATTCTGACAATCCCCGGAGTCCAAAATCTAGAGGAAATTTCTGAATGGTTGAGCTTCTACTTATTCCAAAGTTAAGACTGATTATTTTCCTAATGTCAATTTATTTGCTCAATTCCCTGGAGAAGAAAGTATCTGGAACTATTTCCAAACTCATATATTTTACACTGCTTTGTACTTTAGTAATTTGGAAAAAATAATCGAAGAAAACTAATGAAATGAAAAGCTTTCAAATGGAAAATGTCCCGCGGATAAAAGGTTCAGATTGTATTGCTTACACTCTTTAAAGCATAAAGAACCAGTAGCCAGGGGGGGGGGGGGGGGGTCGATGACTTTTTAAGTGATTTTGGCCAATTTTGAACCACCAAAATTGTCACTTGTAGTGAACTCCCCTGGAATTTTTCAAAAAGTGAATGCCCTTGGCAAATCCTGGCTACGACGGGCCTGAGAACACAAACATGGTTATTTCAAGTGTAACAATAGAAAAATTGAGACCATTATATTCAAAGTTTAGGGAGTTTAAAGAATTAGATGAAATAAATACGCGTTGGTTGTTATGAACAATTTTAGACGTTTGGATCCTTTTTTAAAGTTGCGACTGATAGTTTTGAAATGGGTGGGAAGAAACTTTAACCAAAGATATAATCGCAGATGTTACCCTCAGTTGTCACCGATTTTCGTCTCATCAGCTCAGATTTGTTTCCGACCAGAATTCGCACGAATCCACAGGAACGTGATGATCCGATTTTCCGAGTCTTTTGTGAGCGTTGAAGTCTATTTGTTATTTCCACTGCGTATTGGAAACTTTTCTTATCAATGACGCTGTATACGATTACATAGGCGGATATCTCCTCTTTGTGTTGCAGTGGCTGCAAAAGAAACGATACAATGTAAAGTGCCATTATGCTATGATACTTACAGCATGATACTCACTGGCGGATCCAGAGCTCGAGGGTAATGGGGGGAGGGCGGCACATTTGAAATTCGAAAAAATTTGAGGGCCCTAAATCCACAATTGGGACAGAATTTCGAAGATTTAAGGCCCATTTTTTGATAGATTAGCTTAAAATTGGCCCTAAAAGGCTAAGGCCCGCCTGTCCTAGCCCAATGCACCCCTGGATCCGTCAGTGATACTCATAGCAATTTACTCTCTTTCTGTTGCATCACCAATCATTCATCTCCGTTGCATCGCTTTCTGATATATATTGACTTGATACTGTGTACACCTCCCTGTGTTCTTCAGGCATGAACTTGGTGTAAGACCACACGGAATTTAGTGTATTATATGTATAATATAATATAATATAATATAAAAGTATATATTATATATATAGTTATAATATTATTACATGGCGTATTATATATATAATATGATATAATATAAAAATACATGTTATATATATAATAGTTATATATTATATTCTTGTAAATGTGTATATGCATGTATTTATTTATATATTTGTCTCCTCTGGTCCCCAGTCCCCAGTCCCCAGTCCCCAGTAGCTATTATATATATTTATATCGGTCTCCAGTCCCTCCTTTATATATGTTTATGTATATGCATATACATGTACTTATTTATATATCTGTCTCCTCTGGTCCCCAGTCCCCAGTCCCCAGTAGCTATATATATATATTTATATCGGTCTCCAGTCCCTCCTTTATATATGTTTGTGTATATGCATTTACATATACTTATTTATATATTAGTCTCCTCTGGTCCCCAGTCCCCAGTAGCTATATATATATTTATATTGGTCTCCAGTCCCTCCTTTACATATGTTTGTGTATATGCATATACATGTACTTATTTATATATCTGTCTCCTCTGGTCCCCAGTCCCCAGTAGCTATATATATATTTATATCAGTCTCCAGTCCCTCCTTTATATATGCATATATACAAACATATACATGCATCTATTTATATATTAGTCTCCTCTGGTCCCCAGTCCTCAGTCCCCATCCCCAGTAGCTATATATATATTTATATCGGTCTCCAGTTCCTCCTTTATATATGTTTGTGTATATGCATATACATGCATCAATTTATATATATTAGTCTCTTCTGGTCCCCAGTCCCCAGTTACTCTATATATAGGAGAGGTTTTTTTGAAAAACAATTTTGACTTTAAAGCCCCCCATGATTACCAAATTTTCTCACTTTTTTTCCTCAATTACAATAATTTTTTCAAATTTTGATAATGCACTGATATACCCCCCTATAGGTATCTAGTGTGTAAATGTAATACTTAATCATAATTATATTACATGAATAAAAAAATAAATAAATAAGTCGAAAAACGATGATAATTTTGATGAATTTTTTAAAATCGACATTCCCATGTTAACCAATGGGAAATGGTAGGTTTGCCGCAAGTCATATGACAGAATATCCATCCATCTGAGTCCTTAAAAAAATACGAGTTAGGCAGGCAATTGAATTTGATAACTTTATTTAACAAAAATTGATATGTTTCTTAAAGTTTAATAAAGTTATAGGGCTTTAAAGTCAAAATTGTTTTTCAAAAAACCTCTCCTATATATATAGTGGTAACTGGGGACTGGGGACCAGAGGAGACTAATATATAAATAGATGCATGTATATGCATATACACAAACATATATAAAGGAGGGACTGGAGACCGATATAAATATATATATAGCTACTGGGGACTGGGGACTGGGGACCAGAGGAGACAGATATATAAATAAGTACATGTATATGCATATACACAAACATATATAAAGGAGGGACTGGAGACCGATATTAAACAAATACTGGATGATCAGGAGCTGGATATGGCAGAATACCTATTCGAGAAAAAATATTGGGCGAGACGGCAGCCGAGCCCAATATTTTTTCGAGGATAGGTATTCTGGCCATATCCAGCTCCTGATCATCCAGTATTTGTTTTATTATGCACCTCCCAATCAAAGTTAAGGATGCAGTACCGGGTCGGTTTTCACGTCTCTTTGCCAAGAACGTCATTTTCGCATTTAGTCTTATTCAAAAATTATAGTTTATTTCGATAATGGTGTTTCCAGAAAAGAATTAAATTGCAAACATTTTATCAAGCATATTTTATCCCTTTCACTTTTATGGGAAAACTTGTTCTTGAGTCGCAATTAGTGGATACGAAAACCAGGGTTCGAAAGGTGCCAGCTCTATTGAAAACTCAAAAAAGTAAAAAGATTCATTTTGGGTGGGTAAAATAATTTTTTATTTTGTAATTACCAGACGGTCAATCCTCTTCATATTGCACTTGGATGATGATAACATCATAGTGATACATTGTAAAAAATATGAGCAAAATCTAATGTCTGGAACTTTTTCTACGCTGACCTGGTACTGCATCCTTAAGTGGAGTACTTTATCCCGTTCCCGGACTATGGTCCTGTGAACATCTCAATCTTTTGCCTGTGCGATTACAACATGGGAGAATTTTTTACTGATCTTACACTTCAGATACCTACTTCAATAGATTCCTTGGTAATTTAGCATTCTTTTCGTGTAGTTGAATCCACAATTGTCTGGGTTTATCGGCAGAACGAAGACATTTTCGTTTTTGATCGCAATATTTGCGTGTAACATTTAACTTATTTCAACCGTCAAATTCCTCCATATTGGTACTTCCGGGCTACATCCGGGACAGCCAAACGGGGGATTCCCCTTATAAATCCAACCGCCATTTTGAAAAGTGATGGAATCTCTCTCGATGAAAAAGAGAAAATGTTCCTGTTCTGCCGATATACCCAGACAATCGGCGGTTCCAATATATTAGAAGTTACATCTTGAGTTCTATATAATAATGCATTGAGGTAGGTATCTTAAGTGTAAGGGGCGTAGATAATTCTCCCAAGTTGTAATCGTACAGGCAAATGGATGCGCTCAGTGCAGGACTATAGTCCGGGAACGGGATAAGGAGTACTTACTTACTTACCTCATTTACAGGCTTAAACTGTTGTTTAGTTGACATTATTTTGACATTTATTTATTTTTTCTTTCAAAACTCAGACGACTTCCGGCCAGTTTATTCGCTACACTGGACGAAAATATTTGCCCCGGGAATTTAATTTTTATTTATTCGAGACGTTCTTGCAGAATTATATGTAACTTTTGAATGATAAGGGTAATTGTGATTGATTAAGTACATTTTTTTCTTCTATTTTCCGTCAGTTTCAGATGTAAGCTTTAAGTAGTACTCCAGTTATTAAGAAATAAAACTCTGAAGTGGGAATGTTGCAAAAACATTGAAAAAAATATCCGACCCTTTTTCTCGAAAGGGTCAGATATTAAAAAAATATCCGGCAGTTTTCAGAAAAGAGCAGCGTATTGCCAAATTACAAGCAACTAAGAACCAATCAGATTTGAGTATTTTAATGAGGTGCATAATAAAAATATATATATAGCTACTGGGGACTGGGGACTGGGGACCAGAGGAGACAAATATATAAATAAATACATGTAAATGCATATGCACTAACATATATAAAGGAGGGACTGGAGACAGATATAAATATATATATATATAACTACTGGGGACTGGGGACTGGGGACTGGGGACCAGAGGAGACAAATATATAAATAAATACATACATATACACATTTACAAGAATATAATACATAACTATATATAACATATACTTTTAAATTATATATATAATACGCCATTTAATAATATTATAACTATATATATAATATATACTTTTATATTATATTATATTATACATATAATACACTAAATTTCGTGTGGTCTTACACCAAGTTCATGCCGTTCTTCACCTTCCAAACACAACAAGTAAGGGCGGAGTACACGGGGAGGGGGGGGGGTGTTATATAGTCTCGAAGCAAGACCAATTTAGATACTTATAGCATCTCTGTCTGTTGCATCGCAGATCCTATTCAGTAGGACAGAGATGGAGAACGCTTGCGGAGATCGTGTAAAGTGCATGATAGACCATGACATCTCATTTCTTCTCAGCCTTGAGATGCCATGATATAATGAGCTTGATTTGGCGATCCAGGAGAGCCCAAAATTGAGGATTTTTGATACAATGCCTATTATGTAATGTATATTGCATTTTCCATAAACAAACATGCGATTGTCGCAGCCTGTTGCGACCCCATTTAGACTGCAATGTATTAACACGCGGTACAAACTTCGACCGTTAATTTGAATTTTTGACCTACCAGCTGCTTGAAAATCAAGGATTGCGAGGCTCATACTGCACCGTTTTTCTTCAAACTTATACCATTAAAAGCAAAACAAAATTGCCTTTCTGTCGGTGCATTACTTTATTGTAAAGAGTCCCTCGTTCAAGCAGCATTTTGGTCCCCAGCTGTTAGAAGGCCTTCTTACAGCTGGGGACCAAAATGCCGCTGGAAGTAGGGACTCTGATTAAGGAACAAGTTTGAAGAAAAACGGTGCCGTATGAGACTCGTAATCCTTGATTTTCAAACATCCGGTAGGTCAAAAATTCAAATTAACGGTCGAAGTTTGTACCGAGTGATTAACCGCTGATTGTAAATGCATTTAATAAGCTAATAACATCCGACTATCTATATTTGTAATGAATGATGCGGGCAATGTTCTAAAGATAGATTGAATTACTTAACTAGCGTTGTACGAGTTAACACTTTTTAACCCAGCCTGATGCAAGCAAATGTACCGTACCCCACATCATATATACAACATATCAAATTCCAAAAAGAGTTTTGTTCAGTTTTGGACAGTTCACTGATGTAATTGTAAAGTAAGTAAATCCTATTTTGAAAATTCTTACCATAAGGACAGACAGGCTACAATGGGGGGGGGGGGGGGTAGTGGGATGACTATAATCAATTTATTAAATGTAAATTCCTATTCGTGGATAATATCCACAAAAAGGGGGTCTTCCACTTCATGTTAGGTAAGGTATAATATTTTTTAAGAAAAAAAATAAATAAAAGAAAATTGACCATTATCCGAACAAATATATACCAGGGATTTTAAAGTATGAACTGGGTATATAGCGCTATCTACATCTTTAATAGAATTAAATCAAATCAAGTCAAATCAAATCAAATCATATCAAGTCAAATGCTAGATTGGGCCGTAAATTGCCAATTATCTTAACAAATGTATTTCGACAGAAACATATACTTTTTGAAGTATGAACTTGCTTCAAATAAAAACAAACTAAATGGATTGCTGATGCTAAATTGGGCTAGATTCAACGTTTTTGAATATAAACGCCATAATTACACCGGTCGTTGGAATAAAGAGGCAAACCGTTGATAGCAAATGCTTTTTATAACTCCAACGAGAGAGCAATTCATGAATTATGGAATACCATTGTGCTTTGCCCTGTTATCTACAACATATTTCATTATTCCATAACTCAATTTTCTCTTAAGATTAAAGGCATATTTCTATGCATCCAATTTATTTATCGAACATGCCTTGATGCATTTTTTCAATCTACCTCTTTTAAAAATCCATAATTTATTTCTTTCTCTACATTAAATCATGAAAGTTGCAAATAGACGCCCTTCTTATATTTTAAATTGTCATGGTATATTTGAAATCACATTCACTCTTTAATGCGTTTAATATCATCATTTTTACAACAATTCAATCTTGTATCATTTACTGATACGGCGAAATAAGTCGTTTTGATGTTTTGTCGAGAACCAATTAATAAAGAACAGAGTGTGTCGGCGATAAGTAAGTCAAATGCCTTCCATGGGAAACGGCCAGAAGAAATGGCCTCGATTTGTTCTCACTTTTACAGCGTAAACATGCCTATCGATTCTTACTTTCTACTTGTCTAAGAGTATAATTTCTACTTTTCTAAGAATAGTGGCACTTGACTTGTAAACATGTTTTTCAAGAATATCTGCTTTTCAATTTATGATTGTTTAATGCAGTCAACTGCTAACCTACAGGGTGATCAAAAAGGTCAAAACAAAAGCTAATAACCCAGTCATCCCGCTTTGCTTAAAATCATATTTAGCACAATTAATCCTTTTTTAATGTTCTTTCATTCTTTAGAGTTACATTGGTCTAATCCAAATAAAAACGATTCTATTACCATTTTACAAAACAAGCTTTAAATGCCGAAACATTCTAAACTCACCCGCTATGACGCAACATACGTTTATATTTGGTGCCATTTCAAAGATAATGTCTACACTAACAACCCTAAAAGCATCAACGAATTAGAACAAGAGATTACTAGGAAGATCAGAGCGATTAACAAAATATATCTGTGATCGCGTAGTCAGAATAAGTTTTGTCCCCAGAAAGCGGCATTTTGAACGTGTATTGTACAATTGCCATTTAATCGTAGCCATTTGGATTTATTAGACGGACGGAATTTGGTACAGGTTGACACAAAAATGCCACCCACCTTACGTTGCATATCTTGTTTGTCAATTAACATATAGACTTTTTCTTTAGCACACTGACAGAAGACATAATGCAGAAAAAACTCAAGGAATTTCAGATGTGTACCTTAAGTGGGTCAAATTTTATGGGCGTTACAAGACTTACTCAGAATATCGCTCATCCCTTTGCCGGCACACCTGGATTCTACACTTAAAATAATGCCCCCTACCTCTTGTAACATAACTTTGTAAACACCAAAGATTTTTTGCTTGTACTTTCAAGGAGAAAAGGTTCATTCAATCAGTCACAAAATGATATTAGTTGTCATTGATGAAATCATTTTAACCTTTTTCCAAAATTATGTTACAAAAGGTGGATGTCAATGTTGTGTAAAATCCAGGTGTACCTTTAAAGGAATAGACTACACATCTTGTAACACTCATAAGTCTGCATTTATTTGAGCCAATCATCTGAAACTTCTTGTGGAGTTGCACCATGGATGCTAGTTTTAATATGCCATAACAAAAGTCAGAGTTTTTGCCGACAAAAAAGTTATGCAACATTATGCGGGTGGGTGGCATTTTTGTGTCACGCAGTAGAATGATCAATGGTGGATTCTGCCAAATGTGACCTTATACCCATGCTGGATGACTGAGGTATTAACATTTGTTTGGGTTACCCTTTTTTGCCCACCCTGTACAATAGAAATTAGCCAGATCTTATAATCGGATACTTTTTCAGTAGATTTAAGAACAATTTCTGTTGGTTCTCTCTTTTTAAAATAGTAATAACTAACAATGGAATATGTTAAACTATTTGTAATCAAAATTATTTCTTACCAATGACGTAGATTCCTGAAATTCTAGAAGACTATCCTCTCCATCTAGTTCAACAGGAACTCTTGTTACGACCGCATCATCTGCAAAACACGTCATCAAATCTCAGGTTCGTCTCATATCTACTATTCAATATTCATGTACGTTCTGCGCCCATATTTAGTCTAAACTTAGAATATGAGGTAAAGGGGATGAGGTTTTTAACCAAAATGTCATTTGGCAATCTCTAAAAACACACCATTAAATTTCAACTTACGCGCCCTGCCCATATCTAAAGGTCAAAAAACGCTAAAACAGAGACAGTATAGGGGATGAGATTTTTACCCAAAAAACGCTAATAAATCTCGGTTTGTTTTCTATCTACTAATCATACGTACGTAATTCGCCCATATTAGATGTAAACGTAGAATCACAGGTGAAGTAGAACCCTTTCAAATCTGTCATTAAAAATACGTTCTTAAGTCTTCGCTTCCTACTATTCATTATGTGCCCCGCCCAGCTTTAATCCTAAAGGTTAGAATAAATGATGCCGGGAATGAAATTTTAAACTAAAATTTCTTTTCACAATCTGAAAACATACATCATAGGTCCTTTCGTAACTACTGCATATTTACACCCCCCACAATAAAGATGCCAGGAGATCACAACATTACAATCAACGTGTCTGATCTGGAAACGCACGTCTTCAGTACCGTTACTTATTGGCAGAAGATCATCTTAGCAAGATTGGTTATTCCATATAATAGCTTGGATGAAATATTAATGTCAAGGACTACATTTAGGACAAAAATTTATGGATATTCAAATATCCCAGAATAAAATATAGAACTGTGAGATGATTAGGAAATAACCATGACAGGGATTGATATTAGCACAAATTGAATGAAACAATTTATTGAAAATTTCCTTGCCAGCCTTTTGTAATTTATTTCAAAGGTTCCCGTGTGAGTATAGTTCATGTAGTGTTTTAAGATGAAAAGTTGATTGCTATGTTCATGAATAAATGATATAAATTAATTAAACATGCAAAATCGCCACCACGCTTGGTGGCCTCTCGCGTAACATATGGATGATTGAGGTTACGGTTACTTAAGAAATATAGACCGAAGAGCAGGGGTAATATCGTCGAATACACCCCGCAGGGCTAGGCACAAACGTTTTCTGTACCCCAAACGACCAAAGGGAGTGAGGGGTTCGAAAGCTTTTGTGCCTAGCCCTGCGGGGTGTATTCGACGATATTACCCCTGCTCTGAGGTCTATATTACGATTCGAACATGAAAACTCACCAAAATGTTTCGAATATTCATATATTTTTGTCCGCCATTACTGGGGCCCGTCGTTATGACGTCACACATTACACGTATTACCAGGGGTTTTGTTCGCGGATATACCCTGGGTGAAATGTTGACTTTGTTTACAGTTTATAGAAGACGTGAATACAGTCATGTTCGAATAAGTATTATTTTCCTCATTTTCAAAATAGGTCTGTTTAGAGAATGGGGTTATTTGGAAAGTGCCTCAATACGGAATATACGGCCCGAATGGACTTAACAGGTAATGCTAGTCTAATTAATAAAGGTACTTTTAGAACAGTATGTGAAGATTGTGTGGGTGGGAGATCACGGAAAGAAAAGTAATATCCCCTCTATTACAGAGTAGATTAGAAATCTATATCGATAGCTTTGCATACCTCTGTATAAAAGTTTAATAGTGAATTATAATAATTGTTCAACTACACAGTCTGGCGCGTATCTTATTTAATTCACCAACCCTACTATCACACCAAACTAGGTCTTATTATGTTCTCGAAAACGGGCTTCAACTGAACTGTGTACGAACGGACTGGACGTACTTAGAACCGTTTGGGGTCTATTTACAAATTTCATCGAACGTACTCGAACAGGTAGAGGTCCTCTAGAACATGCTCAAAATGTTCTCGTGGTTGTCATGTTTTACAACGAGTGACAACGTACTAACGACGCTGGACGTACTGCGAGCGGAACCGTCGTACTTCAATCCTACGAGGAACATTTTTACAACGAGTTGAACTGTTTGAAGACGTATTGAAAACGAGGTAGAACTAATTGCAAACTGATTAAGAACGTATTAAAGACTGCTTATGCACAAGTAAGCAAAAATATAGCTATCACACCAAACAAGTTGTCACTGCGTTCTTCAAAACTGGTGCGAACGGAATGAACGTAGCTGCAACTTTCTAAGGTCAATTTACGAACTTCATGAACGTTCTCAGACGGGAAGGTGAAATTCGATGGCAACCATACCGTTCTGTAATCAGATCGTGTGACAACGTACTTCAAACGAGATGACCTATTGGACGTATTGAAGACTGTTTATGAACGAAGTAGCTAATTATTAGACATATTTCCCGACCACAGCCTGATTTAGCCCTTTTTACGACTTTTTCTTAGGATTGGAGAGAACGGTTGAAAACTAGTTTGGTTTGATAGGGGGTTACTGTACATAGAATACGGCTTGCTCGATTGCCATTGATTGCGTTTAGATTCGATTTTGAGATGAGACATCTAAAAGAATGACAATAATATAGCTTCCCAGGAAGAATTTAAATACGGGATATCCGCAATCAGGCTGTATTCATTCAAATTGAGCTCCAGAGAACAGTAAAACTAAAACCCATTGAGTGTCTAACACGTCAAATTCGCCTATTTATTAGTATTGGAGTTGAAGGTTTTTTATAATCAAGAAGATGTTGTGTTTTGATCTTGGACATATTGATCTTTGATTTGCTGACTAGAATCTATGGTCGTATGGGATTAGTAATAAAATCCTTTGATTAGAATAGGACATATCAATTGAGACAGTGTTGATTTACGATGTTTTATCATCCAGTGATCTGTCTTAATTTGGGTTTGATGGATGTGTCCAAACGGCGCATGTAACATATTCACCCTTGGTATACGCAGCTGCCAATAATGGACCGGTCGGGTGAAACAACGTGACCGGTGCGGTACAAACACGACAATTGCAAGATTGACACGTGTACGAAAAAGTAGATATTAAGTTAGTTATGGGTAATTTGAATTAAAAAATAAGCGTTGCACCACACCGGTCACGCTGTTGTACCCGACCGGTCGTTATCTTCGTTGTGTATACCAAGGGTGACGCGGATATTCAAACTGTTTAGATGTAACGGAATAGTGTACAAGGTCACTGCTCAACATCTACTGACTAAACGACATTCTGGTTTTAGACCTGTGTTTTTTCGATCTACACCTTCTAAAAGGTCAAGTTAATACTGATTATAATTTGGCTCTATATTGTCGAAATGATCCAATCAAAGAATATGCCGATGGCTAGATATTTGGTTTTCGTAGGCCTATTGAGTGGCAATCTGTTTATTTTTAGATACGAATCTTCTTCAGCTTCATGCCAAATTACAACTTGTAATTTGTCCTATTTAGGTGAAATCGAATGAAACAAAAAGTCGCCAAAACGTGGAGGACATCCATGTCGCTATTTTGACGAAACATCGCGATCGAAGTAATTATAGAGATCTAGAGACCTGTGACGATGCTACATCAAACTCTAAACGCACATGCGGATCTGACACCATGCTCCTCTTCCCTAGGATAGGTCAATAAAAAAAGTGTTGGGCCCCAAAAAATTTGGAGCCCAAAATTTTGTAGGGCCTCAATAAGTTGGGTAAAATTATTTTAATTCTAGGCCAAGTTCTCAAAATGTGCCTTCAAAATTTGGCCCAATTTTTTGTTTTAGTTGCCCAAAGAATGTTTGGACATTTTCTCTGACTTGAAATGTGCCCCTCGAGCTCCCCCTTGTTAACTTCTGGATCACCCGGTAACATGTCAAGAAATAACAGACGCGTTGTTGTCGCCTACAAAATAAAAATGCCTATAGGCATCTACTATCGAGCAAAATGATGCAACTGGATACGGAATTTAATAAAGACTTTCTCAAATTGTGTTGCCAGATGATCTAGTTACATCATCTTACTCCGGTTAGCATTGTTCTTAATAATCGGGGGGATTCAATCGGATCTTTCCTTTTATTGGATAAGGAACAGACATCGATTTATGATGTAATTAAATCAATCTTATTCTACAGCAGCAATAGTTCGCAATGACTTAACCTAGAAAATCTTTTTAAAGTTACTCTATTGACTCTATCAATATTGTTGGATGTTTGGCTTTGTACTACACGGTCAGGCCCGTAGTCAGCTTTTGTCAAGGGGGATTTCACTTTTCAAAAAATTCAATGGGGTGGGGAGTTCACATTTGACCACTTTACCCGAAAGTGGAAGGGAGCTCAGAATGTTACATGATTTTGAAAGTTTTTTGGCCAAGGGGAGGGGGATTGCTCGAACTCCCATGGCTACGGACCTGATGATTCAATTAATGTTTACTTTGATGATGGTACTGAACGGACGCTTGTCAAAGTTAAAATACTCCTAGGTATCATCAATCGCTAATGTTTTTGTTTTATGTTCTTATATATTGCCTTTTGCGCCTTCTTTAGATATTTTGATTCTATGACTATGAAGGATCAGTTATCAATGCATTGATAGAAAGGCCATCACAGGGCACATTGATGGAAACCCACACAATATCAATTACCTTTTTCATCAGTCGGAGTATCGTTACTCAACTTATCACTTTCTCATTGTACATTTCTTTAGAAGTACAAATGCATCATATTTCGTGACATAAAGTCATCGGAGATCGATAGTACTGCAAATTAGAATTTCACAAACAGAAATTGAACTCACAAATGGAAACAAATGAATGCCCTTTTAGATCTTATATCTTTCTAGTTCTTGCCATAAATCTTAACTAGAAAGGTCGGTCTTAGCGAAAATAGATTCCGAAACGGAAATTAGAGTCCCATTGTTTCACGAAGTATATCGATGTACTGAGTCTTCGATCAGAAATAACACTTACCAAACCTTGAAAACATGAATGTTCACCATTCCATCAGGTCATGCCTTTGGAAATCGGATATCATGTGGTTTACTATTATAACTTTAGACTCTGGGACATGGTGGACCTCGTGGCCTCTTCATCTCACTTTTGTTTGGATCAAGGACCGTACCTTTCTCTTTCACATTGAAAGAAACCGATTTGTTTTTTTTGTCCTCAGGTAGAGTTATTTTCTCCATTAAAAGTAATGGGGTTGTCCAGTCCAGGTATTAGTTGATTAACTATACTCTACACTAATGGGTGATGGAGGACATGGCAGTGATATATGGCATAGTATCAAGATTCCCGATAAACTTCATGGACGTAATAGACGACGTTGATGCATCGTCGTCAGAGTTGTCCATATCATCTTCAAATGAGGAAAAGTCATTGTACTGTATAATGAGCTACTTTTCCTGATCCAATACATGAAAAAGCAGCTGATCAATCATTTTGTTTTTCAGTTTTTTTTAAATGGAGAGATTACTAAATGGGCAGTGGAAGAATGGACATGTTCCCAATATTAGAACTTTGCCAATTCTATATACCAGTATATGATCACATCTGGTGATCTTAGATCTGATATTGGTTTTAAATCAGGGCATATTGCGTTGTTATTTATAATACGCAGAGCAGTAAACGAGCTCGGGGAAGAGGTGGTCATGTTTTGTAGGGACTGACCGTTTGATTTTGGGGGAACTTTGGAATTTCTTCCTTGAAAGGCGTGGGCGTCATAACACCAGAGTGCGTATTTCCAGCTACCCGCCCACAACATGATATCAGATTTGATATATGTTACTTCTGGGAGCGTAACATTTTAATATACTTCAGTATTAATCAGAATAGGCACTACTTTGGAAAATTGGTTCTTACAGCATGAGAAACTTCCCGAAACAATTAAGATGGATCCAGGACAAAATTATATATTTACTTTGTAAGTAATATCCATATGCCTTATAATGCACACGTTAAAGTCGGAAAGAGATGAATATAGAGTAGAATTTGATAAAGAATAAAAATTATTCAATAGAAAGAATTTGCCAGTTCGATAATTTTTGATTAATGTTCTTCGGGATTTGAATTATGTTGTTCTTAAAGGTTCCTCTACCGTAACAGTCCGCTCCCCGCTGTTGATGATTTGTCTTAATAATAGGAGATTAAAGATGATTATTTTGTCATGTTTCGTATATGAAAGACAAGGTATATAAATCATAGACCTACGTGCCTTCTTAGTCACTTTGTCATAGTACTATACAACTATTGGATACGTAACTCTTTTTTATTCATAGCATGTTATCAATACAGCTCATATGCTATGTTTACGTAGAGCCTTTTCTACTAGGCAACTTTAAAATGTATGTCGCTGCAAGTTTCTGTCTCTACCCCATAGCAATTAGTACCTAAATTATATTGTCTTTTACAGATGTCTCAAACAATAAACAATGAAACATTAAGGAAATATTTACTGTAGGTACTAAGATGCTCTTTTTTAGTTTACTAAGAGTAAGTGGACACAGGGCTTTCCCATAATAGACACATCTCCCCCTAAGTTGGGAAATTTTTTTTCAGGTCCATTAAATTTATTTCAAGGTTACTGTTCTCAAAATATATTCATATATTTTCTTTAGATTCGATAGAAAATTCTGGATAAACCAGCTAAATATTTTTACATTTTAGATCCATCATTAATGAATTCTTGGATATTCAACCAGAAGAGTCGAAGCGCAGAATCGCGGAGTTTGTGATGTCTATGAGAGTATACCACGGACATGCAGTTCATTGATGACAATGTGAACACAGCACACGTGCCAACCAAGGCTTCGGTTCAGCTGGTGTCCTCATAATCAGTTTTAACGGGGCTTACGCAGGTCTGCACTGTTACTAATATCACACAACTAATTACAATAATTGTAATCATGAACGACAGACGAGTTTATATTATCAGGGATATGCTACTTTTGATTTGGTTATATAGAGAAATATTATACCTGGATAAATAGAGATCACATGTGTCAGGCACACTACCCGTGCAACTCTTTCTCTCAACTTTATTTATTTTAGAAACCCAAGTCCATGCAAAAGCTTATACAGGGTGTCAAATAAGTCCCGACCCCCTTTACAGCTGCTTAAATGAGGGTACGCTAAATATATTTAGGACATCATGAAAATATAGGTGAATTTCATCCAAAATACTTGAGAGTTTATGAGTTAACATAACTTTGGATGATCTTTCCAATGGTATATCACACTAGGTACCATATATTAAGGTTTTAGGTGTAGCAAGGGGACGGGACTTATTTGACACCCTGTATATTAATTGAGGAAGAGTCTGGGCGAAAGACTAATGGTTTGTATCATTTATATCTAGGACTTGTTGAGTTTCATTGAGGGTTGATTAGATATTGTTGAGTTTGAGACCATTGAGATCATTTAACTTACCGAAGCTCATATTTTGATATGTCCCTCTGTATTCCGAAGACGCGAACTGTTGAATCAGGGATGTTTTTCCAACTTTAGCCGCACCCACGACTAGCACCTTATACAATGGGAGGTCTGGTCCGTTGATCTCATCAGCGTTTCTCGGACTTTCCGAGGCAGGATCATCAGAGCTGTGGGACTCTGTTCCATATGACAGGATACTATTTGCACTATTGGTCAAAGGGAATGCCTTATATAGGTCACCATGGTTAACAAACCCCTTCCGTCCAGACATCGAGAACGTCCTTTGGCGGTACACCCCTATTTCAGACATAGTCGGAGGTACAAGGAGACTGACCGCCCGCCGTTCCCGGTTTTGGGTTTTACCATCGACTATGTCATCGAACCTATGCGATACGTAGTCAATGGTTGTAATTGTTGCTGACCGTGGTCGAGGTTTACCTGGAAAGACGCTTTCAAGCTGGTTGTGGCAAGTAGAAGGGTTTGTGGATTTTTCCTTTTTCAGAATGGGAAATTCTTTAATGCTGTTAAATTGGTCGGTCTTGTACGTTGTATTAAATGCTTTCAAGTTCAACTCTTGTCTTGTATGGGCCTCGCTATCTGGAACTTTTGAAAAGGGTTGTTCTTTGTTACCTTTTGGAGCATTTTTCAATCCTTTAATATGAAGTTCCTCCATTTTATATTCTTCATGAACCCGTTTGGGATTTCGCTCATCATCTCTCAACGGTTCAAGTTCTAAATGATTTGCATTTAATCGGTCGTCGTCCTCATTGTCATCAATGTCACAAGCGTCCCTTCGCTCCATTGTCAATTTTCTACTTGTCCCATCCACACGTGGATCATGATTACTAAGCAATGAATATCTTTCGTCTCCGCTTGGAATGTTCACTTTGTAATTGCGTGCTCTGTTTGTCCTATCTCGATGCGTTGGAATTTCCTCAGTACTCTGTATATAGCGCTTATCCTCATTCCTAATGGCAGAGCCCTCATATTGCGAGGGTTCGAAATCTTGGAGGAGTTTCATTTGATCAGATGCGTTTGTGTTTTGAGCACATAATTCTTCGTAGATAAGTTCCTTACAACATGCCATTATTACAGACTAGTGAATCCTTTCCATTGAGTATAATAAATCAGCTTACACTTTATGCAACTCGTCGTCTCTATAGCATTGAAATACGTAAACTGTATCGCTTCCATTAAATTCCCAATTCACGCATAACAGAATCTCTATTTTCATTCAATATTGAACTCGACCTTTCTTATCGAATGTAAGATGTAGCTTGATCTAAATCTTGAAAATTAGTGTTGCAAGCTTATCAAATAATACTGAGCTAATGAATTACCTCTCCTTGTTCTAAACGATATTAACTTGAAATCCCTGACAGTCTTCATTCGTCTCACCATCATTAACAGTATCCGTCTTTCAAACGCTTCCTCTATGACTCTTATGCTGATGCACCGTGGTATTTTGATAGCGACGTTCGATAATAACGATACTCCATCTAAATATATCTCCTATGATGTACCATCTAAGCGCGATCACAACGGCACCTCATCCAGGCTCAATTACTTTTATTCCTCAATTTGAACTAATCCATTTAACTCGGGTCTTCTTTTTAACTCAATCAAAGCTATGCCTGGCCGAATTTATGGCATTCTTACGGATCAAATAACTCTTTGTAAGTAAAAAGGAATTAGCTCCTGGGAGTTATGTTCTTTTTGACAAGCTCGCCGAATTCTCGAAATCGTTGTTCCCTCTTCAAAAGAGAAGACGCGAAAATCTTTCCTTATAAGGGCAAAATATTTCCCATGATGCAGTTCGCGGAGGAACAAATTTATACTTCCTTATTGTTGTTTTATACTTTGCCTATTACGGGTGCCATAACTAACACTCGTTCTGTGCTGTCCTCAGATCTCCACCCTCCGACTACTGGTTTACAATTACTTCTGAGAGGCTCAATCTCAATAAGAGCGATTATATTATCTCGTTATTATAACAGAATACTGTGAAAGCGAGCTTTAAAAGCTAGTATCCAATTGCAATATCACATCACATCTGCGTCTTGAAATTTGATGTAGGCTTTGTTTGGTAAATAAAATACTCGGACATACAGGACGCAGAATTAATACAGATATAAATTATTGGGAAATATCTCCACAATCAATTATAACAGATGAATTGCCGTGCAAATGCCATGGTCCCTTTTGCGCCGTATTCAACACCAGTGCCTGGCCAATGAGTATTTTGTTCAAAACTGAATGCAATTTTAACACTGAAAATGGGAGCAAATGAGACAAATCAAGAACAAATCAAGTCGGAATTGATGAAACTTTGCCATTACATAATTAGGCCTATAAGTCTTTAAACTGTGACTACGTCATGAGTGGAGTAAGTGGTATAAGAAAATCGGAGGGTTGTGTTTCGAACCCTGCATGTGACCTTTTTAGCAAAAAAAAACAGAAATCCTAGATTTCTTTTCTTGCCTCTGTGTTTCACTTTGGATATAGTCCTGCGTAAGGATACTAGCGGTTAGTGATTTGGTTTTCTGTATAAACATTTTTCTCCTTTCCTACCCCATTGGAGCGCCATCTGGCGTTTGAGAAGTGAATCGGGACTCATTATTTAGGTATGTCCAAATTTATCTGAAAACATGTCAAAGTTCAGTGGGAAATCTAATTTTAAGCTGATGGCGAAGTGATTTTGACGTTGGTGATTTTACCAGAATTTTCTGAGAAATCTGACGATAAAGGGGGTTGGTGTCTTCAAGTTTATTTATCTCAAAAATTCGTTGGACAACACATGGTAAGTTTGTTATAGCAGGCTAGGCAAGTCTCTACCGAACACTGTGGTATGTTGGATACTGATCGATATAAGGTACAATATTATAATGGTCATCTATGAAAAAATCTTCTGAGGTCTCCAACCTTTTCCCTCAGGTGAACAAAGCCCGGATGCCAAGTTAAATGACGTCATCTTTTGGAAGTTTGCTTTTTGCTCGTTGCTTAGGAATATTATGCGATCAAGCGTGACGTCAGACATGTATCGCCCCAGTAACAACTAGAAACAAATTGATTTCTTTTAACTTTGAACAGTTTAAGACGTCATGGGCACGTTTCCTTACCGATACAGCAAAACAAACAATTAAAGTCCCCGTGTAATGTTTGAAAAACGTAATTATGACGTGCACGGACCTGGGGACAATTCGGGAAATACGGGCTAATCTCAGCTTTAAGCGTTAATATCTGGCTTATTTAAAAAGCTAACTATGTGCATTATATATCATTTTGAAGTATTTTTTATTCGCATTTCACTGAAATTATTTTTCCTCGAAAAGTGTGATGGGATCTACCATATTTTTGAAGTTAAATGTACTCCGACATCGTCAAATACGCTGTAAGGCGTAACATTTCACGCTTACATGGTTCGTTGAAATCGGGATAACATTTGAAATACTGATCAGAATTATACTAAAATTTCACATTTTATTCATTGATACATGTGCTTTTATGACGTCACAATTGCCTAGCGGCTACAGTTCAAATCGTCTTATATGAACGCTTTTAAGATTTTCAAAATTGTGTAAGGTTTTGAAGGCGAAGGAGACAAGCAATAAGTTAACCTTTATTTAACCTTCTAATTTAGGTCTGATTTCAAAAAAAATTTAACTGCACAATATTGTCATGGCGAAATTTACAAAACAATAACCGATTTCTTTATTTTTCAAATAAAAAGAGAATAAGAGTTGCTTTTAGAGACTTGAAAAAATGTAACGCATCGATTTTTTACCACAAATCCAATACACATCAATTTTTACTAAAGCCCCGAGTGGATTTCCTGACCGTTTTTCAAAAATCAAAAACATTTTAGAAATATTGTCCTCGAGATCTTGTGGCTCTGTGAATTTTACAAGGATTGGATAAGAATAAAGCATCTTATTTTTAGGTTGACTAAACTTGACAAAATGTAACGCTTGTCGTTTTTGACGTTATAATGCTGATTGCGCCCTATACTGCCCATTGTATCATTGTTTTTGGTATTTTGACGCCATAATGTTACTCTAATTGTCCCCAGTTTCGTGCGACGTGTGAATGTTTTTTGTCATTCAATTACTATTTATCATATTTATTTATTTATTGAAAACAAAATTGAAAAAAGTTGTCAGCTTTTCATATCTCAAATTCCCCACCATACATTTCAAAAAAGATTATCTTTTTAACTCCTATGCAAAGATTGAACAAAGGACACACTATTTCAATAATAAAATGCCATATCTAATGTGCCACTTCAATGTTGTAGCATATCAAAAATGTTTTGCAGCCTCAGTGATGTCATCGATGACTCACTCAGGTGGCAACAATGTGAAAAAAAGAATTTTCTTTCTATGTCAATCTTTTCTAACTTTGCCAAACTTCAAAAATAACTCAATGTTTATTGTCTAACCAGGTTAAAAGGAAGAATATATTATGTTTTAGATATTATTGTACCATTGGTTTCTATGAGAACTAAAAATGCATTTTTCTCTGTACCATTTTCATGGATTGATGAGTTCATTTCTCGCTTATTAATGAACATATTTTCTTCATTTTTTCGGCAAAAAATATGTAAGGATGAATGCTGTGCATTGGTATGTATTATCCCTTATTAAAAGATATGTGTTACCTCTAAAAGATTTCGAACAAAAAGTCCTTCAAAAAACACTTTTTTGAAATTAGGATAAAAAGTTTAACATATGACATTTTGATAACATTGGGTAAAACTGCTATATTAACCAAAGTGGTTTAAACTTTATATGGGGGCTTTAAACATGTCATTCTGTTCACTGCCTTTGTACTGTTCATGGTTTGATTTACAGTGGATCAGTTTTATTAAAACAATTCTGGTAATCAAAATCAATTGATGCAATTTCTTAGTCATGAAATAAACCACTGAAAAACATAAGAAATATTTATTAACTAAAAAAATAGACTCACATTCACCAGTCTTTTTAGATGTCTTATTGGTTTACCTTGTGATACCACAATTCACAGTTCAAGTTAAATTTCATTACACGTTTTGTTAACTGAAAAATTCAGAGATATAGCTCCAATGATTTTTGCTGTTTCCCCGGGGTTGTTCTTGGACTTGATGATTGATGGGGTTTTAATACATTATGGGCGTTTCCTCTCCATTTCTTTCGATTTTTTGTCACAGAATGAATTTACTTTTAAACAACACAATGGGATTTCTAATATGATTACTTCCTCTCCTCATTTAAGAGAACGATATCTTCTAGTAAGAAGTAAAATGATATACGGATCTTTTCTTGCAATTAGTATAATTTCTGTCGCTTTAAATCCCAGTTAACCTTTCAAACGACAATGTACGGATGAATATCTCACGCAACGACCGTTAAGTAAAGCCTTCTTAATGTAGTTGTGACATTAGGTATTCAAGAAAACAATGCCGTAATTGTATTTTTGTTCATTGCCGAGGACAAAACGACGACAAGCATCGCATCATAAATTAAAAGCCTTTAATACAAAAAGCCAGTTTTACGTTACTACCTTTATTGGGTTATTAAAAAATCCATAACGGTATGAGTTAATTGCATTCCTGGACAATTCTTAACAGCTTCCTTGCAATTTGCTTGATAACGTAATCTCTCCACAAAAGGCAATTAATACTGGTAGTTTCTAGTAACAAAGAAGTCTTCGGATATGCTTTAGATTTATGGCTGGAGAGATGATGTAACATATTCGAGTCTGACCATACAAATACTAGTATATGCGCAAAAATAACGAACGCCTTCCTGATTTCCTGAAACCGACACTTTCACTTTTATGTTGTCAGGGTGACCATATTCTCTTCAGGAATTCAATGCGAAAATTCAATACTAGTTCAATTACCTTTCTAGAAACCGTGTTTTCTTTATAACGGGCATACTGAATACAATGGAACGACAAATTAATGAACATTGTCTAGATCTTGCTTTGATAATGAGACTATTTCATCAAATCGAAGTTTTCCCTGTGGTACAAGTTAAAAACATCCTTGTTGTCATTCTATGTGCTATCGAAAATATGGACAGGTCCAATAAAACAATTGTATAATGTGCAGTTATTTTATAATACTGTAGGTAGATTCAAAATATAGAATTGACCGATATGCATTCTTTACAATTTCAAATGTACTCAAGGTATCTCCCAAGGTACCAAGGATACCAAGTATCAAATGGAAAGGTTATTAACATGTAAAATGTCAATTTTCCATTTGTAACACACACCGGACGCCGAACTCCGGGCGCCGCACACTGTCACAAAAACGTTGGAGACCATAACAATATGTCACCACTTGTGGTGGTGACATAGAAATAGGTAAAATCTCTAGTAGCACAATAGATATGGATATCACTTTTCAAGAACCCATCAATTTTTTTCAAAAGTAACCGACCTGTAAAAATTGAAAGAAAATGCAAATCCAAACGTTTGGATTTGCATTTTCTTTCACCATCAATCAGTCTTTATAAAGACCTTAACACTCTATATCCGATGTAGTGTCAAGAACCAGTTGGCAAACTTGGACAGGGAAATGGACTGATCAATGAAAAAAATCGTAGAATTCCTATATTGATTTTGCATAGTGAATTCGTGT